AGGGACTTCAGTGGGACTCTAGTCTAAACCGTACCTGACCTCCCAATGTAGTTCCCCCATGATCTCTTTTCGATCAACCAAAAGAGTTTAATATCTACCTGCTCTATACTGGGCACTGTGCTTGACTGTAGGGATACTAAGACAAAAATGAAACAGCCCTTGCCTGCAAGGAGCAGGGATTTATATTCTACAACAGGAAAAAAAAATGCATTCATAATAAGCATTATTGTGCTGGAGCCCATATTGGACCGATTGGAAAGAGATGATTGTTAAATTTTCAGTGTAAAAGCATTCACCCCTCAGAAATTGGCAGACAGTATAAATCAGGACTTGATTTATTATTTTGTTGACTTGCTTAGATTTAAGAAAGTGATGAAGAAATGTTAAAATAATGTAGATTAAATTTAAAAGTGTTTTGTAGGCTTGTGTTTTTCTGGAGAACCAATTGTTAAGCATTTGCCAGCACATTTTTGTTCTGTCATTTTTGAGTCGTGTCTAACTCTTAGTAACATCGATTGGAGTTTTCTTGGTCAAGACCTGTGTTTTAAGTTCTCCAACCTAAATATTCATTGAACTGATCGTCCTGTGGCATGGCCTTTGGTCTCCTTGCATCCTGGTCACCCCTCTACCAGGCACATTCCAGTCTCACATTGTCATCACCTAAACATGGTACCCAGGTGTGTGGTCTGACCAGGCTACAGCAAGGTGGAACCAGGATGGTGGCTTCCCTCCTTCTGGGCCCCTCTGGCTCTTCTCCAAATAAGATTTCATGGTTCTTTTAAAAGCCTGCTATGTCACAGTATTGACTGAATGAGTTTCTAGTTAAATCTCTACCTTTTCCTAATGGACTTACCTAGCCAAGCCTCTCTCATCTTGGATCTTTGAATTTTCTTTCTCTTATAATATGTAATAGTGTAGCCAAGCAAACAGGCGATAATCATAGCCAACCAACATTATTTTAATTTTAAGGTTTACAATATCATGCTTTAGAGATGATATCATTCATTCCCCACAACCTTGGGAATTAGGTCTATGAGTATTACATTTTATAGCTGGAGAAACTGAGACTCAGAAAGGCTAAGTGACTTGTTCGTGGTTACACAGTCAGTAGGTCTAGTTCTTTCTAGACTAAAAGTCTGGTGTACCTTCCAGCGTGCCCTGTCTGGTACAGCCTCACTTAGACCACGAGGTACAGAGATATTAGTGATGGAGTGCTAATGATGGACCTCTAAAAGGCCCTGGACTTTCCCATGTGGCCCAGGTCCCTGGTGTTGGCCTAGGACACCTGGCTCTTCCTAATTCTTGCATTGTGGCTTTGATCCTGCCCCAATCGCCAATTCTGTTAGCCCTGCCCCTTCATTGTTTGTAATAACTGCTTCCCACCCTTTGCCTGGGGCACCTGGCCCTTCCCAGTTCCTTGCTTTGTGGCTTTCACCCAGCCCCAATCTTCAGCCTGGGTCCTCTTCTGTTACCTTCCAGGCATCTTTCCCCCATTAAATTGTCCAGATTCCTTAAGAGTCTGACTGGATTGTATTCTCATTACAAAGACTCAGATTCTTAAAATCTGGCTAATAGTGCACTCACTTGGAATCTTGGTCACCCCACCTGTTCTAATAAACCTTGTCTTTGTCTGAAAAGAAGGCTTGAGTCGTATTGATTTGAGGGCAAATGTATCACTTATGCTTGAATTTCGAGGTCCCGGCACCCCCAGAACTTAGCATTTGAAGCAATATTTTTTCCTGAGATTCATTGTGACCACAAATCTATTTCTAGTTCTCATAAGACCAACTCATTAAATGAAGGAGGTAGATGGATGGAAGAAATCAAGCATTTATTAAGTGCCTACTATATGCCCAGCACTGTGCTAGGCGCTTTGTAATTATTATCTCATTTTATCGTCACAACTATACATTAGGTAGGTGCTATTATTATCTCCATTTTTACATGTGAGGAAACTGATATGAGAAACTACTTTCTCTCATTTATAATTAATTTATTAGGACCAAGAGTTTTCTACCCTTTTCTACTTCCTCATCCAGAAACCAAAGTGTGGGGAATCTGTCTGATTTTATCAAGGTCAAGATCTAATTAGACAATAAAAGATTCTAAGTTTGGGCTAATGGGTGTGTTCCTCCTCTTTGTGTTTTGCTCTGCTGGTCTTGGGTAAGGTTATTGTCCCTATTATCAAGACAAGTGATATGGAAATTGATGTCTCTTTGACCTAGGTTTGAGTGGTTTAAAGGCATATACTCTTAAGACCTTCATTTTAATATAGCCCACACCTGCTATTGTTGTTAAACTTCCCTCTCCAGAACATCTACTCTTTCTTCCTAGGGCAAATAAACTGTGTTTGGGGTGTTTGTTCTAAAAGAGACAGCCAGATGACCTTTTATTAATAATGTGCTGGCCTTATTGATAAAATGATTAAATTACCCAGGAACTATGTCTCTTGAATGAACTTTATTAATCGTCCAACTGGCAAAGAGAACAAAGTCCACCTCTTGGTTCAGATAGACCCTAAAGAGGGATGTGATTTGGAACAACTCACTTTACTCTTCTGTGATTCAAGCCTCCTCATCTGTACAATGAGAATTACAACACTTGTCCTGTCCAACCTCCCAAAATTATTGTTGCTCCCAACACTTAGGGCTGCCCCAGAATGGAATTGGCTACTTATAGAGAAGCCCCTTCACTGGAGCTCTGTAAGCAGAGACTGGGTCACCCCTGGTCAGGTGTGTTCCTTCATGTGTGTCCTATACCAGATGGCTACCAAAAATCCCTTCTGACTAAAATTCTGTGATCTTGAGGATCAAGTGAGATAATGAATATAGAGTCGTGCCAATAGAGTAGGTCCATTGTTTCTCAGGGAGATCACGTAAGGAATTTTTTAAAAATTTGCTTTTTAAAAATTATAAACTTAAACATTAATAAACCCGAACGTTTCAATTAAAAAAAACCAAAAGTATTGTACATGAAACTATGAATGTCTATTACATTGGTTTTTTTTAAGCTCCTGTTAAATTACAAGCAGTGATGAAACTACCCTGCTAGTCTATTTTCTGTTCCTTCTGCACTTTTCTGTGGATTTTTTAAAAGTGCATCAATATACTAACTACCAACCCCCTTTCGCCATAGAAGCCTTCCCTTTAAACTTGCTTGAGTATGTTTACAATCAGTATATTGAAACTAAAGAACTCATCACATTCCCCGTAGGTCTCATCCTGCACCTCTAATCTACCACCTCTCTGTCAGGAAGTAAAAAGCATGCTACATTATTAGTCATCTTACCTCTGAAGGGACCAACTCGGACTTTTTCCTTTGCATTTTTGTTGTAATTGTGCAAATTATTTTCCTAGTTCTCCTCACTTCACTCTGCATCCAAGGTTTCCCTAGGCTTCACCAAAACAACAGTTGTCATTCCTTAAGGTGCAATAATTCTATCACATTCATGTACCATAATTTTAGTCATTGCCTAGTTAAAGGGCCTGTAATTTGTTTCCAGTTTTTGGCACAACAGTGGCATTCTAAATATTTTTGTATGCCTGGGCCACATTACCCTCTTTCTTTGGTCTCTTTGGGACATAGACCAGTAGTGATACTGCTGGGTCAAAGGATATGCACGATAACTTTTGGGACATAGTTCCAAATTGCTTTCCCGAATGTCTAGAGTAATTTATATCTCCTCCAATAGTGTATTAATACACCTGTTTTCCCACAGCCCATGCAGCATTAGACATTTTCCTTTTTCTCAACTCTGCCAATCTGACAGGTGTGAGGGAGAACCTCAAAATTGCTTTAAATTTGCATTTTTCTAGTTATTTGTTCTTTGGAGCATTTTTTCATATGACTATAGATAGCTTAGATTTGTTCAGTGTTGCTTCCTAAGCATTTAGGGAACCAGGCAGAGGCCTTGGGAACAAAAAGTACTTATGGCAGACCTTGGCCTCTGTGAGATCAGGTCTTGGGGGGAGGTGGAGAATGGGGATAGTGGCTATGTAGATGAACACCTGACTAGTGAAAGTGGGTGAAGAAGCTTTCCTGCCATTCTTTCATTCTTATTATCCTTGTCTGAAGAAATTCTTTCTCTCCTATCCATCCATCCCCATCATTGTTCCTTGGGCGTTTAGTACAGGGTCTCATGAATAGTAAGCATTTAATAAATGCTTGTCAAACTGATTAATTTTAATATATTTGCCATGTATTCTAACTGAACTCTAACTCCTTATTAATCTTGGAGGAGCCTGGATTATGGAATGGAAGCAGAACAAATTAAAATTAAGGAGAAAACTTGTATAAGGAGGGGGGAAGGGAGTTTAGGATGGGGAAAAGTATTACTAAACTGTAATACCCTATTGGTCCTGTATATGGAATTCAGGAATGAAAATAGCAAACGAATTATTTTATTTGGTAAAAATGTCCATACAAATTCATGCCAAGTACTGCTGACTTTAAATTACTCCCTGCTCTTTCTATTTAGTGGCTCCCTGGTGCCTCCAGGATCAAATATCCTATCTTCTGGTTGTAGCCCCTGGTCACCTTCCCAGTCTTAAGACTTTGATCTTCAACACTGACCTCCTTTGCTGCTCTTTCCAGAAGACATTCCTCCATCTCCTTACTCGAGGCATTTTCTCTGGCTCTTCCCCTCCTGTGCCTGAAATGCTCTTCTGCCTCACCTTTGCCTTCTGACTTCCCTGGCTTCCTTTCAAATTCCAGTTAAAATCCTGCCTTCTCCAAGAGGCCTTTAGTATTCTAGTATATCCCCACCACCCAAGTGGTTCCCTCTGAAATTACCTCCAGTGTAAATCTTGTTTGTACATAGTGGTGTGCGAGTTGTTTCCCTCATTAGATTGTAAGCTCCTGGACAGCAGGGACTGTTTTTGTCTCCTTTTTTTGCATCTCTATCACATAGCATAGTACCTGGCACCATAGCGGGCACTTCATAAATAAATGCTAGTTTACTTGATTTGACTTCAATTGCTGCTTTCTATCTCCTCTTATAGGAAACATCATTGGTTCAGGAATTTTTGTCTCACCAAAAGGTGTTCTGGAGAATGCTGGCTCTGTGGGCCTTGCTCTGATTGTATGGATTGTAACCGGGCTCATCACAGCTGTGGGTGCATTGTGTTATGCTGAACTTGGAGTTACTATCCCTAAATCTGGAGGTGACTACTCTTATGTCAAGGACATTTTTGGAGGCCTGGCTGGGTAAGGTTATTACCTGGGGCACAGGGTAACTTTGGGCAGAGGAAAATAGGGTAGCCTGGGAAATCTAGGATCTCATCACTTGGGTTCCTTGTGCTTTTATTTCTTGAGTGGGTGATTTGGGGATCCTCAATGACTATTACTAGGCTTCATCAGCCTCTAGTGTGTCCCAAGACCTTAAGTACCATTCCTTGGAAAAGGGGAACACCAGAAGTCCCTCATCTGATTCAGATACACAACTATAAATTTGGATTTCCCTTTTTTGTCTATTATTAAAATAAGATTCCTGTCCTTAAAGAAGAAATGTTGGTGCATATATAACCTATATCAGATTGCTTACTCTCCCGGGGAAGGGGGAAGGGAGGAAGGAGGGAGAAAATTTGGAACCCAAAATTTTTTAGAAAACAAATGTTAAAAATTGTTTTCATATGTAATTGTAGGGAAATATTAAAAAAAAACACAAACAAAAGTGAAATAACTAAATATGTGTTGTGCGCCATTTATAGTATAAAATGCAGTTTAAACAAAAAAAAAAGACATTTGTATTGGTGAAATGAGGTGGATAGATGCCCAGATTTCGGTTGGTTTGGGGCAATGGTAATTCAGGCCAAGTAATCTCATACCAGAATTAGCCTAACTTTAGGGGATTTACCAGTTCCCTTTTAGACCCCAATGTTGGTGAGGCTCCATCTTGGCAATTTCTCAAAGTTGCTTCAGTCTGTTAGCATTAGCAGAATCAAGTACAGGGTTCCTATCCCTGTCACCATCTTTACTGGAGAGTGCCTCAAAAACAAAGAAAACCACACGGCTCTCATCTTGGAGTCAACCTGTAAGAGCTATGGACACACAAAACAATTCCATTCTTGTTCATTCATCTTGACTAATGAGACTGGTCATCTTCCCATCACTGGAAGAAACACTAGTCCTGCCCTTTCCACACGAACAAGGCTCACTGCTCTGAAAGGAACACTCAATTCTATGTTCCTAGTTCTTCCTCAAATGCCAAGCGATGCCTACAGTTCTTTCAGGAAAAGCTTAGCCCCATCCTTTACTCCTCTAAAGAGAAGGGTGTAAAAATCCCACCTATTCAGGTCCTTCAGAGACTAACCGTCCTTGCCTGGATCTGAAGGGAAATTGCAGGAAATATGTTTAGTATCCTCTCTCTCTCTCCCTCTCTCCCTCCCCACCCCCCACCCCCATCACTGAAGAACTAGGAGCCAGGGTGGTGGAAACATAGAGGTGGGGAGAAGGAGGGGTAGGGAGGCAGAAGGAACCCTGAAGTCTGTGCTAATAAATGCCTATGCAATTACTTGCTGAAACATTAACAATAATTGCTAATAAAACACATCACAGCCTGAAAGGACATGCTTCTCACTTCTTAGTGGTTTAGCACCTTAATAAACTTGAAAGATGAAGGGTACTCCCTTCTAACACCCTCCTTTCTACAAAGGCTGCCCTCAAGTTTCCCAGGTACCCTTTTTTGGAGCAAGTTGTATCTTTACTAGCCCTGAAGGCAGGGACTCATTCAATTCATGCCCTGTCTTCTTCCTCCCATCAGGTTCCTAAGGTTGTGGATTGCTGTGCTAGTAATCTACCCCACCAACCAGGCTGTCATTGCTCTCACCTTCTCCAATTATGTGCTGCAACCACTCTTCCCCACCTGTTTTCCTCCAGAGTCTGGACTACGACTCCTGGCTGCAGTCTGCTTATGTGAGTACCTGCTGAGTCTCCCCTTTTTCCACTGGATGCCCTCCTTGCATCCCTTGTGTTCTTGATTCTACTCTATCTTTCTCATTATTTCTCCTCCTTTAACCTACATTCCACTTGCTGGTGTCTAGAGAAACCCTTGTATTTGCAAGTGTCTATACTGTGGGTCTCACCAGACTTCGTGGCAGTGGGTCCATACCTACCTACCCCTTAACTTAGACACAGGCATTTCATAAGCACCCATACAAAAGATTTATAAGGTAGGGTCCATATCCTTGAAGTTTATATTCCAACTGGGTTGACAAAGTACAGATATAGGAGAGGTAGCATCTAATGTAGCTCTGCGAGTATAGGTCAGTCATCTGACTTAACAGATCTTCAGTTTCTCCATTTGTGAAATGGGAATGAGAATACTTGGTACTACTTAACTGACCTCAGAAGGTTGTAAAGAAACTGCTCTGTAAAAAATGCAAAACATTATATAAATATGAGCTGTAGGAAACAACCAGAATTATACACACTTATGCACACACAGATATTATATATGTGTGTGTATATATATGCCTAAACATATACATACGTAGCAGCTTGGAATGTGAACCCATGTTTGACTTCATTGGTATAGGGAATGCCCAGATAAAGAAATTCAGGTCACTAATGTAGATAAGCATTTTCTCTGCAACTTACATTCTTAGAGAATTACCTAGAGCCCTGAGTAGTTAAATAAGTTGTCCAGGGTCACACAGCCAGCTTGTATCAGAGGTATGAGACTTGCACTTGGATCTTCTTGGATCCACCCACTACACCATGTTACTTCCCATGTATACAGACAAGTATTGTTCCAAAAGTTGGGTTGTCCCAAAAGTCTTAGTGTAACTTTAAGCTTTAACAGCTTGCTCTTAAGACTATTATCCCTAGTAGTTTAAAACTATATTAAGACTTTTGGAACATTGTGAACATATGCAAACATACATATTGTACATATAGTGTGTATGTGTTCACATAGTGTACTCTGCCTGATGCAGTCTGCCATGTGGACTTTGGAGCAGAAGCATATGAAGGTAATCTTTGAGTATTTCCAGTCCCCTTACTGCATTTCCTTTTGATTGGCATCTGAGCCTGAGTGAGTAGGCAATAGCTGTTTTAAGCCTCCAAGGTACAATGAATGATTTAGTTTTAGGCACTTTAATTCAAAGTGCTTTAAAATATCACCTAGCCTACCTATGCTAGACCAAATGCTGGAGTTGGTTGATTTTATTTTTTTCCCCTGTAGCCCCTCTGACTTAATCCCAACTCACAATGGTTTTTCCTTTCCATGAAATTCTATAGCAGTGATCATAGATTAGAACTTAGCAGTTAATTATAATAATTATATGCATAGACATACAGATATGGATTAGATTGCCAGATTTGGGTGGATTTCCATGACAGATCTATAGCAGGACACAGACAAAGGATCTACAGAATAATCAGAAATTGGTAGTTGTCAAGTCTGCTTTATTGGAGGGAGGATTTGAATTCAATAAATCACAGATCCATAAATACCAGTGGGGCTAACTAATTGTCTTCTCTCCACACATCCACCATTTCCAATATTATGTCATACATAGCCACACACTTAATTTAAATTTACTGCTGCCATACTATCTAGATCCCTTAATGCAGCTCTGACTGGTTTATTGGTTAGGTAGTTAACCATTCCAAAGTGGTGGTCCAAGGTCCTGATTGATCCCTTTTGTTCGCACTGTTGGTGAAGGCTGGTGAGGTTTAAGGGGATAATGACTCCTAAGGCCTGACTCTCCTCAGTGGATTGGACCATGCACCAGAACTGAGTAGGCCATCATTGGTATTGGTATCATAGATTGACATGAGGCATTGCCTTCCGAGGGACTCCTGTAGTTGTGGGAAGTTGTTGTTCAGTAAGGAAGAAAGTATCCAAAATCTCTAGAGGGTTTCAAATACATATTCGCCTCTTCGTGCTCTGGATCTACAGTGTTTTAGACAGCATCAAGCAGGTAAGCACCTGGGAACTTAGCTGGGTGTCTGGAGTGTAATGTTTATAGCCCCAAGGAGGAGCTTTTGGGAAGACAGGAATAATTTTTTTGCCTTTTATTGCTGGAAAAACTTACTTTTGGTCGAACTCTGAAAAACAACCAAAATGCTGGCCACTGCTATGTCTGTCTCTCATGGGTGAGCACACAGACACACAATTTCCTCTTTCCTGCTGATGTTGCTGAAAGCGTCTTTGGCTGGAACTAGATAATATCATGGATTCTCAGAGCTGGAAGGAACCTTTAGTGGTCATCAAGTTCATCTTCTTATGATTAGATAGCTTCTTCATAACAGGGCAAGAAAATATTCCTGGTGCCAGGTCAACAGGTAGAGTTCCTAACTCTCATTGCTCCTTTGTCCTACATTCTCCAAAGCATATGAAATTCACATTATACTCAGGCTACTGAGCACATAACCCTCTTTGGAGTATGTGCCCCACTGTCCTCCCACAATGGAGCCAAATTGCCCTGAGCCTTCTTAGATGGATAAGAATCTCTCCTAGTTTTTAATAGATGCAGAGAGGTAGATTTCACAATCTCTGTCAGCAACCTATTCCAGCATCTGACAAGTGCTAGGGATAGAGCCAGGGAAGGAATTTTAAAGCCTGGCTTGGAGCATTGATCACAAGACCTATAGGTTAGGAAGGATCACCAAAGGTCATCTGGCCTATTCCACCTGGATTTCTAGGTACAATTGTATCTAAATTATCTCAGATGGCCAATTATCAACTCCATTAGCCTCCAGAAAGAATAATTCCAAAATCTCCTGTGCTAATAAGTTCCCATTTCTCTTATCATCCTCACAGGTTAAAAAACAAACAAACAATTCTTTCCATGTTGTTCACCTAAATCCTTCTTGTTCTAGTTTAAATTTAGCCCTTTCCTGTGATCCTCTAAAGAAGGTGGAAAACAGCTAAGAGTTAGAATTCAGATTCTTACTTAACTGACCTTTGGCAAATCACTTAACCTCCAATCCTCATTTTCAGGTGGTTGGACTAAGGTCCATTCTATGATCCTATAACAGGATGATCTTTGAGGATTCCTTCCAGAGCTAAATCTAAAGCTCTGATTGCAACAATATCCCTTTATTTAACTCTAAATCTCTGTTAAATGTGCATTCTCCCCTTTTCCCTACTCAATCAAAAAAAAAGTTTAAGAAGTTCCCTACTATGTTTTAGGCACTGTCAAGTTCCTTATTCCACTCCCCCTATCCTCTTCTTTAGGCCAAGTACTCCAAATTCCTTTGACCTGGCTTCACAGAGCCTGTTTTTAATCATTTTCCCCTAGATCTTCTCCCACAGGGTTCCTCACATTTCCTGATGTATAGATAATGTACCTAAGGTAGGTATATATCTAATATAGATTGGAATTAGGTTGCCAGGGCAATTATCTTGAAAAGGCAGCTTCATTTAAAGGGACAACCTGTGTCAGAGGTGACCTACTTAAAATGCCTGTTGTTATTTTGAGCTGAGTTTGACAGCATTTGCCATTTTTTCTGGAGTGTTGGAAATGGGAAGTGGAAGGGATAGCATTTATAGAGCACCTACTATGTGCCAGGCACTGTGCTAAGCACTTTACAAATATCACATTTGATCCTCACAACAACCCCAGGTAGAAGGAACTATTGCTGTCCCCATTTTACAATTGAGGAAACTGAGACAAATTACATGACTTGCTGAGGGTCACATAGGTAGGAATTATCTAAGGCTGGATTTTAACTCAGGTGTTAGACCAGTAGTCTATCCAGTGTACCACTTAGGTGAATGATTTTCTTTGGAAACCTTAATTTATGCTATGTATTTTTAACGTACAGGGTGTTAGATGCAAAAGGGATCCAATATGATGCCTGGGAATGAGCTGGAGGATCAGTGTTCAAATCCTGATCTAGGGCAAGTCATTTTTCTTTTCCGGGTCTCAGTTTCCTCAGGTGTAAAAGGAAGGAGCTGAGTGAGATAGATGACTCCCCAGTTCTCTTCTAACACTTAATCTTCAAGTTCACCCTCTCATTTTTACAGATAAGTGAATTAATCCCCCAAAGAGGGTAAGTAGTAGAGTTGGTCTATATAGTTTTAGTGATTTTTTTTTCAAAGTAGGTAATACGGGGGAATCTGAAAGTTAGGGAGGGAAAAACTGATGTGTAATAGGGAACATCCAGTTTAGTAGATCAGCGTGTGGCAGGGAAGGGATGTGTGCTTGGGAAATTCAGAGTCTCAGGACTGTGCCTGAATGTGGGAGGTATTGAGATAGAGTAAATGTTACAGGGCTTCTTTGGAAGAGATCTGAGATATGAAGTGCCAGATGGGGAAGGAGGAAAGAACCTGCTGCAACTGATTTGCTTTTGCTGTGCCTTGGTGGGGGGGAGGTGGAGAGGGGTGAAGAGGGGGAGGAGTGGAGACTGCAGACTTGGATGGATTTGTGCAATACAGCTGCTGCTTAGGGTTCTTTCATTATTCAGGTCAAAGCTGATTATTCACTGCTGAGTCAGCAAAATCTCCCCAACCTACAGTTTCAGAAAAGAGGACTGTACATTATAATTAAATGAAAAGCTCTTCTCCCATCCGGAGAATGTGTGTATTTGGAGGGAGGAAAGAAAAGCAGAGGGGAACAGGTCTCTTTTTTCCTGTGTGTGCTCTTTTTATTAGCACTTCTGGTTATAAGAATGTTAAAATTGTTTTTACATGTAAATTGGGGGAAACTAAAGTACTCCATTAAAAAAAACACTTCAGGTTATAACCAACCTGAAGTGGTGGTGGCTCCAGAGAAAGGAGCAGGTTATCATCCTGGGCAATCCCTCCTTTCCCTCTTTTCCTGCTCCCAGTGGGCACCCCACCCCCACCCCTTTCCTTGATCTGTTTGTCTACTTCTGTATTCGGGAACATGCTGACCCTGCAAAGTTAGTTAATGCAACTCCTGGGCTCCTTCCTTGTTTCCAGGGTCACTGGTTGTCTCCAA